CTGGGGCGCGCCGCCGAGATGTGCGCGAGGGTGCCCCAGGGGTCCCTCGCGGCGCCGTGCAGCCAGGCCCGCGTTCGCCTCACGGCGCCAGGCGCAGCCCTGCGCTCCACGGGCCCGGGGGCGCGGAGGCGGGCATGATAGGCCTGTTTCCACCACCGCCACCAGGAGGGGTGGGAGGAGGGCGGGAGGAGGAGGATGAGGATGAGGAGGAGGAGGAGGAAGAGGAGGACTATGAGGAGGAGGAGGAGGAGGAGGAGGAGGAGGAGGAGGAGGAGGAGGAGGAGGAGGAGGAGGAGGAGGAGGAGGAGGAGGAGGAGGAGACCCCCTTCCCCTCCTACTTATTGTGGTGGCGGTCTGTTTTCTGGTCTTCGATCTGGTCTGGGGCACGGGACCGGGCCGGCAGGGCGTGAGGGGGCGGGGTGGCCTGCTGCGAGAACGGCAGGGGACCAGAGCCGCCGGGGGGCGCAGGCCCAGGAAAGCTGCAAGAAGGGCAATCCGCTACGCGACTTGGCAGGGTGGGGGTTCACCCATCGTTAGGTCGGGCATGTCCTCCTGCAGGCGGATTTTGCAAACAAGTGAGGCATTGTCAAACATGTTCACAAATAGTTAGTCCAGAGAGCACGAAAGATCATCACGAGACTATTTGTTTCCTCTTCCTGCCGGCACGGGACCAGACGTGGGAGGCGCAGGCCCAGAAGAGCTGTAAGGGCAATCCGCTACGCGACTTAGGCAGGGTGGGGGGGTTCCCTATCGACCTCCGAGTCGGCAACCCCAGACCCCCGACGTCGTGACTTTTTCGCAACGTCGACCACCAGAGAAGTCTGGACCCTTCCCCAAGACCAGTCTCTCGTCCTGAGCCGTTGTTTGACGGTCCCGGGGCCAGGTAGGGTCCCCAAAAGGCCGAACATAGACAAAAACCTCTCGTCGTGATTGCTTCACGACGCGAAGAGGTCTGGGGCCTCGGCCCTGCAGAGACGTCCCTCCGCGCTATCGTTAGGTCCGGCATGTCCTCCTACAGGCGGATTTTGGACGAACAATGAAAAACAATCCATCAAACAATATTCAAAAAACAACAGAGCACGAACGATCCTCACCATCTTATTTTTCACCGTTCTTCAGTATTCCTCCTGTACAAGGGACATGCCAGACTTACGCCTATCGACCTCCGAATCGGCTACCGCAGACCCCCGATGTCGACCCCCAGAGGTCCGGACCCCTTCGCCCCGGGCCGGGTTTTTCGTCCTGAATCGTTGTTTGCAATCCCCGGGTTCGGCGAGGGCCTCCAGAAGCCGAAGATAGCGAGAAACCTCCCATCATGATTTCTTCATGCCTCGACGGGAATCTGGGTACTGAGCCCTTCCCTGAGACCGGTCTCTCGTGCTGAATCGTTGTTTGACGGTCCCGGGGCCCGGGTAGGGCCCCCAGAGGCCGAAAGTATACAAAAACCTACCGCCGTGATTCTCGTTCGACGCGAGGAGGTCTGTGACCTCAACCTGGTCGGGCATGTCCTCCTACAGGTGGGCTGTGGGAGAAACGTTGGAACAGAGTCACACCAAAAAAAAAGAATGGAACATAGTCGAGACAGCGTCCCCATTCTACTTTTTTACTATCCTTGCATCTTCTTCCTGTAATTCGAGGGACACGCCCGACTCAAGGCTGCCTCGGCCCTGCAGTCAGCAGGGACCGACCCTCTCGGCATTCTTTGGGCGACCCAAAATGAGGTCCAGCTGCAAGGGGATGGTGCAATAGATTTCGGACAATTGCGTTGCAAATGTATGGCGCCGGAGACTTGTATTGCGTTGTATTACAACTAATGTACTGCACGCAAGAATCCAGCAATACATCTGCGCCCCAGAGTGTATTGCACGCCCCAAATGTACTGTAATCCCACAAATTTATTGCACCACATCTAATGCACCACCCCCTTGTCGCTGGACCCCCTTTTGGGTCAACCCGAATTCCTATAGGCCCATCACGAAACGTTCCTAGAACTCAGAAGTGTTCTGATAACAAAAACAATGTTCTTAGAACATCGACCAGATATGTTGAACCAAAACGTTCCCAGTCAGAGATGTTCTAAGAACAGTTCGAGCAAGCCACAGAAGGTTCTCAGAACATTCTTTCGTGGGCCTATGTAGGCGAGCCGGGACGCTTCGCCACTGCTCGACTGCAGAGACGTCCCTCGGCTGCCCCTGGCAGCCCGGCCGCAGCGCGGGAGCGGCCACGCGCCCCGAGAGGCCTCGGCCGTCGCGCGAGGCGCCCCACCGCGATGGCCCGCCTCCCCGAGACCCTCCTCGAGTAGGAAGTCGACTGCAGAATCGGTGTGCCCCAGGATGGAGACTTTGTCGTGGAGTCCCACGCAGGGTGCTCGCAGATCTTCCGAGCACCCCTCTACGCCCTCCTCGTGGACCTGGCGAAGCAGCCGAGTGCGGGATGCATCCGTGCTGTCGTCGATTCCCTGCTCGACTTCCCGCGGCGCGGGCCGCGCGCCGCGGGCCCGCTCCCGGCCCCCGGGATGGTCGGGTAGTCCGCGAAGCACAGGACCTC